TGAAGAAAGGTCCAGACCCGAAACATCAGCTTTCCTGCTCCTCTGATGCTGCCTGGCCTGCTGTGTTCACCCAGCTCTATTCACCCAGCTCTGCACCTTGTTATCTCACTTGTTCAGTGGAGGTTTTTCTCCTCCAAAGTGCCAATTTCTTAAAACAATGTGTGAGCTGGAATTCATTGATTAGATTCTGCTGATTTTGAAGGTAAAAAAAAAGTTCAAGAAACAGTTGTGCACATATAGTACAACAAGGGTATGAAATACATTGCTAAAGAAAATCAAAAATGCAGAATTCATTGGGATCTATCAGATGAAAGAAGCGGGAAATCTGAACTAATTGTTGATCTTTCTGGTGTCCTCCAATTCTTGCCTCCTGTGTCGCTGATTTTAATGACTCCATCAGTAACAACTGTGCCTTTGCATGGCTGCAAAATGTCATGACAATGGATCAGAAATCAAAATAATTTTCTCATTCTAACACATTTTTATAAAAGAGGACTGTTGTAACTGGAAGATGATTATGGATGTAAATTCACTGACTGCATGGCAGAGTCCTGTGTGGACCCATGGAATATCACAATTGTACAATATCGGGGAAACTTCCAACAGAAAGAACAAAAAGGAAGAGATCATGAGAGGTTAGCGCCACCCCACCCAGCCAGCACTCCCCACCACCTTACACCAGGAAGTCATCTCCTGCAGACATGTTTGCATTTTACTTCAGGGATATACATAAAATGGGGTTATAAACCCCTGGCCTGTGTGTTTTAGTGGCCTGGCATACTAGTGTGTGGACTTGGGTTCTATGAAGGTGACAGCATAAGAACAGACATTAAAACATTCCTGCATTGCTAGTTAAAAAAGGAGAAAAGGCACTCTGTTCTCCTGAGTGCTGCCAAGTCAGCCACTGTCAGTAGGAACAAAAACAAAAGAATTTCAGACAAGCTACAAAGACAGGAATCTCAAAACTGACTGCTCACTACCCAACGTTAATGTTACTGGTAACATCCTACATAATGGCTGCAATTTATAGAGCTGTGGTGGTTCCTGCCTCCCTATATAGTTCTGCTGTCTACAGCAGACACCTCAAGGCACTGGAGCAGTACCACAAAGCTGCCTGCACAAGATCCTGCGAATCCGCTGGGAAGAAAGGCATACCAATACCAGTGTCCTTGACCAGGCCAACATCCCCAGCATTGACACACTGACCACCCCTGATCAGTGACGATGGTCTGTGCACGCTGTCCACATGACCGACGCAAGCCTCCCCAAGTAGGTGCTCTGCTCCTATCTTCAAAACAGCAAGCGAGCCCCAGGTGGACAGAGGAAGCGCTTCAGTGATATCCTCAAGGTGTCACTGGTGAAGTGCAGCATTCTCACAGACACCTGGGAATCACTGGCCCAACACCATCCAAATTAGAGGAAGAGTTTCCGGGAAATTGTAGAGCATGCCGTTGGGAAGAAATGGAAGCCAGGCAAAAACAGCGAAAGGAGCGCGTTCCCACACCAATGCCCCTCCCATCCTATCCCCTGACCCTCCACCTGCCCCAAAGCCACCAATAGACTCACCCTGAAAGTGGAAGAGAGTCACCCTTGTCTGCAAGGGACTACTGATGATGTATTGACACAATACTCTACTATCTACTCTTCACGACTGACTCAGAAACTGATCCTTTTTAGAACTTTTGTTGCACTCATTTCTTATTCCTAATCTCTGTTGCATCATTATTTCTTCTCACATTTAGTAACTAACAACTCACAATTTTATTAACTGAAGAAAGCCTGGTCAAATTGGTGCTGAATTCATCTGATTTGGGAGACAGGTGTCCACAAAGGCAAGGATCCATTGTTAAGTTACCCTAGTTACTACCAACCAAGGAGGCAGGTGAATAAAGACGCAGAGCCAGTCAATCGTCCTCACCTGTAAGCTTAACAATTTCCTATCCTGTCTAGAACCATCACAAATTGGGGAACTTTTGGCAAGGATCTGGTCGTATGACAAGGCCTTAGACTTTGGAACTCTTCCCCCAAATTCATACAAAATACCTTTGTCCCTTGCCCTCTAAAATATTCTTTAAAACTTACCTCTTTGAACAACTTCAGGTCATCCATCCTTATGTCTCCTTATGTTGCTCACTGTTGAACTTTGTTTGACAATCATGTTGTGAAGTGCCTTTAGTACCATTTTGCCTTTGTTAAAGATGCTATATAATTGAAAGCATCTGTCATAACAAGAGTATACCAGCGACAAAAACCTTGCTTGGCAGAAAGGCCTGCACCTATTTCTCCATCAGATAAAGATGCTTCATAGAAAGGACATCATTCTGCATTAGATGGGATGAGTGCCCATGTTTTCTGATATGTGCCATCTACTGCTACACATGGCAAAATGCCAGATCAGTTGTCATGGTTTATAATTTCTGAGTCTTCACAGTGAAGAGCCTCAAATTCAGACAAAGCTGTACTGACTCTAAATCTGAACTTCTTGATCAATAAAAGAGTGAGAGTAAAAACTGTGCGATTTTTTGTTGCCTGAATCTTGAAACTTGATTGATTTTTCTGTTGCAATTGCCTCCTCCTGTCTGCTTCTCTTAACTAAAACAGAGCAGCATCTCCATGATTACATTCTCACTGCGGGTCCTGGGCACGTGTAATTAGCTTAAAGAAGATGGAAGTTCTCCAGGGAGAATTTTCTGTTCCAAATATTCTGTTGATTTCTGTCGGTAATGGACCTCTCACTGGGTTTGTGAACTTATTGATCTTCTGCTGCTTCTGCTGCTGCTGAGGGCTCACTGATCACCTGCTGGGCCTGTAGGTTATGGGCATCCTGCTGGTGTTTCACAATTTGACTTGCTTTCTGCTTAACAAATAGCTTGGCTTGTATCCAACAAGTTCCTTCAACTCAATTTCGGTCCATCTGCAGGGGTCTTTACTCCACCACTGGTGACCAAGCCTTCAGCAATCAAAGTCTACAATTTCCTTCCTTTGTCGCTTTACCTCTGTCTTTCCATTTTTGGTACTCCTTAAAAACCATGTCTTTGTCGAATCTTTTATCTTAGTCCCATCTCCTTCTTTGGTTTGGTGTTATTTTTGTTCAATAACATGACTTTAAATGCATCGCAACATTTTATGATATAAAGAAGCCCGACTAAGTTTCTCATGGGAATAATCACCAAAGAAAATTGGGTAAATGAAAACAGAAAGAACTGTGGATGCTGTAAATCAGAAACAAAAACAGAAACTGCTGGAAAAGCCCAACAGGTCTGGCAGCATCCATGGAGAGAAATCAGAGTTAACGTTTGGGTCGAGACTGAAGGAAAATTGGAGTGTTGATTTTCCGTGGGTGCCATGAAAAGCAGGACAGTGAGTAGGTGGGGCTGGGTTTTGACTTCAGTTTGTCCATTTATCATGTGGAAAACCTGTGATAAACACGGTCTTGGCAGAGAGGCATGCATGACCCATCCAACTGATTGTATTAGCAGGAAGCCTCTGAATGGGCATCCAGCACTTTTGCCCAAAATGAGCAGGAGGCCCTGTAAGTCTGCAGTTGGGGCCCTCATTCAAATTTTACGTACCGTTGAGGAAAGCATGATTCCTGTAATGCTATTCCTTAACAAGTTTAAAGGAGATATGCGAGGCAAGTTTGCTATGCAGAGGGTGGTAGGTGTCTGGAACATGCTGCCAGGGGAGGTGGTAGAAGCAGAGATGATCGCAAAGTTTAAGAGGCATTTGGACAGACACATGAGCAGGCAGGAAATAGAGGGATAAGGACCGTGCGCATGCAGATGGGAATTAGCTGAGAATGGCATCATGGTTGTTACAGACATGATGGATTGAAGTCCCTGTTCCTGTGCTGTACTGTTCTGTGTTCTATGTTTACAACTACAGAAAGCTGCTGAGGAAGTTGAGTTGCTGGGATTTCTTCTGTGATCCACTGTACCCTTGCTCCAACACCTAGAAGAGACGTCCCTGCGCACTTGCTTTTGCTCACAAAAGGTTGATGACCTCCAGCCTTCCCAAATTTGCCACTGCCAGATT